TCCGTCATCATCTATCCTCTTCTCTCCTGTGTGGTCGGTCTTCGCTTAGGAGTATCCGCCAATGCAGTTTCCGCGCACCTCTCGAACGATTCGTGGCCCCATAGGGCTCCGCCGAAGGCCCCTGTAGCAAGGGCCGCTCCCTTCTGCCCGATGCCAATTCAGCGCGCACCCCGCGCGGTTCGCGGCTCCTGAAAGGGCGTTGCGCCGAACATTCTCGTAGCAAAGGATGCGCGCCGCCCGTCCAGACCACGTCAGCGGGCCCCTCGCTCGATTCGCGGCCCCATCGGATAGCATTCCGAAGGCCTTTGAAGCGCAGGCCACTTGCCAACGCCCAGACAATTCCAGTTCCCCCCTCGCAAAGTTCGCGGCCCCATTGGGAGTTCCACCGAAGGTCTTTGTAGCGCAGGCCGCCCGTCGCCGCCCAGTCCACCCGAGTTCTTTATTCACGCGGCTCGTGGCCCCGAAGGGGGCCCCGCCGAAGCTTCTGGTAGCGCGGGCCGCATGCCGCCGCCCAGACCGCTTCAGGTCTTTATTCACCCCGTTCGTGGCGCCATAGGAAGTTCGGCTGCCGACCAGCAGACATGTTCAACGCAATTCTTGCGCGCGCCGCGGCCTCGTGGAGGTTTACACCGAAGGCTTGTGATGCGCGCGCCGCACGTCGCCACCGACAGTATTGCGGCGCACTCTCACGCGGCTCGTGGCCCCACAGGATGCAACGCCGAAGGCTTCTGTCGCGCTGGCTGCTTGCCGCCGCTCAATCCAATCCAGCACCCCCCCTCACGCAGTTCGGCGCCCCATAGGGAGCTCGGCCGAAATTCTTTGTCCCGGTGCAGGCCGCATGCCGGTGGCCAGACTATTTCAGTTTATAGTTCTTGCAGTTCGGGGTCCCATGCGGCGCCCCGCCGAAGGCTTTTGCGGCGCAGGCCGCTTTGCGCTATTTGGACTATGTCAGCACGCCCTGATACGGTTCGTGGCCCCACAGAGAACGTCACCACATTGGTTTTGAAGCACAGGTCGCTTGCAGCCGCCCAAACCATTGCAGTTTTTTCTTCATGCGGTTCGCGGAGTCATGGGGGGCTCCACCGAAGGCCCACGTAGCACAGGCCGCGCGCCGCCGCCCGGACCATGTCAGCGCAGTCTTCGCGCGGCTCGTGGCCTCCAGGGGGGGTGCACCGAAGGTTGTTGTGGCAGAGTCCGCATTCACACTCGATGTGCTGGCGTGCGTCGCATACGAATTGCGTTCTGAAAAACGGTTGGCTTCTTCGCAAGAGTGAGTATAGGTGAATATGTGTGGGGTTCGTCGTGAAGTTGTTCCTTGAACGTGTAGAACTGCGCCCCGAAAAGAAAACGAGTTTGGCGTTTGGACGGCCGGCAATGTAAGTCATGCCCAAGTTGCAACGCGCACTCTCTTGAGCTTAGCATGAGAGGTGCCTTCAACGTCAGCCCCGATCTTGGGCAAGCCACGCGCGGCGCTGCAGACATTCCGCAAGACCTACTTCACCACAAGTATGCGTGAGGACCGCTTATAGTGGTACACACCTGCAAAACGCGCAAGGCAACACAATTGTTTTGTTTCGCTTCGCGACGACATAACTACATTGTGGACCAGCAAGACACATTACACATGACAGCAACACCGTAGCACATGATGCAGCCAGCCCTGACTACCCTCGGAGGACGCGGTGGGTTCGGTCCCGATTGCTTCGTAGTTACTCAGTAAAAGCAACCGAGCAAACGAAGCACACACAGCACGCAATCAGCGCACGCACAACGCACAGCACCCGAATCACGTACAACACGCACCACACACATGATGCATGACACATGCGCAACGCCGACCAATACACAATACAAACACATATCAAACAGCAGAACTACTCGCACACAGCGCACGCGGGAAGAACCATGAATTCTCATCCTCTCCTCATCCCCCTCGCCCGTCCCGCAGTCTTTGCCTTCGTCCCCTCATCACTCGCCTGTTTGGTTCTCCATGCCCACAGTTTGCTTCTTTAGCTCGTCTCCATCGTCATCTGATCCGTCTTAATCGTTCTCATCGCTTTTCTCGTCGTCCTACTTGTCCCCGTCGTCGTCTCCCTTGTCCTTCATCTCCTCGGACTCCTTTTAGCCCAGCTAATCCTCGTCCTCTCATCCGCATTCTGTCCTCCTTCCTCTCTATCATCACCCTCATCCTCCACCCAGGTTCTCGCTTGCCGCTGTGAAAATGCAACGACTGGACGCAAGTACCTCCATTTCGTTCCAGGTTCAACTGCGTGCGTTCGCGCGCGCTTGCCCAGTGGAGTGGCAAAGTTGTGCTTGTTTGGCCCGGCTTTGCGCACATGGCGCCCTTCGCGCAAGTCGGCCTGGCGGCTTCTCTGGGGGGGTAGAGGGATTTGGGCGGCGCGGTGAGGACATTCGTGCATTGCGCGCTTGCGTGGATTTCGCACGCGGGCCCCTCGGCAAGGCGGTCAGCACTCTCGATCGTGCAGTGGTTGTGCACTGCTTGCGCGCGTACCTGCGCTCGCGAATGTGCACGCGGCGAGGGACGAGGATCGCGGCCGCTGGCTCGAGGCTGGCCGGTGTAGCCAGTCCAGCACCTCCCCAGCGTTGGCAGCCAGGGCTCGCTCATCACCTCCCTCCCGCGCGGCAGGGGGGGGGCACCGCAGAGTGGCACGATTCTTCTCCGTCCGTCACGAGTCGCGGGAAGCGGTTCTCGGTCGGGGGCGGCCAAGAAGGGGGTGATGATTAGGGTGGGGCGAACATGATGGCCAGGCCCATGCTACCTTCCCAGATCTCACAGCGCCTATTCTCATTTTGATGTGTCCTTTGGCCCTCCCCTGGGCCGCACACGTGCCTAGGGCCATGATTTGCGACCCGCCCCTCTTCGACGCCCTGCTCTTGGACGCCCCCGACTCGGGGGCCCCCAAACGGTGCGGTGACCACACCGTGATGTGAGTCAGCGGGGAGGTCGGGGTGACCGCACCGTTCTGGGGCTTGGGTCGTTCCCCGAGGATATCCTGGGCAACAGGGGCCTCCAAGGTCACAAGCCCGTACGGTGAGGTCGTTGGGGATTCCGAGGTGGCGACGGGCTCACGTGCCCATGCGTTCCCCCTTCACTCCGTTCGCGGAACAGCAAGGGAACGTCATACTCAGCAGAAGTTTTCTGGAGGCCTCCCAGATGGGGCCCGAGTAGATCGGGTCGGGGGATGGCGCCGCATCGCCGATGCATCACCGATGCATCGGGGAGGCATCCGCGACGTCGGCGATGCATCGGCGACGTCCGCGTGCAGAACATCGGGCTCCCCACCGAACCGCATCGCCGACGCATCGGCGATGCGGCCCGATCCGCCGACCCCCCTGGGAGGCCCAGGCTCCCGGAGGTCCGCGCGGACCTGCGCAAGGCTCTGCACGCTCAGCCACGTGGCCTCCTCCCGCCCTCGCGGTGCTCGCCGTGCCCGGAGGCCCCCGCAGGGGTCTCTCGAGGGAACCTCCGCCCGCGGGCGGCTCCGGGGATCTGCGGCCCGGGGGTCTCTTGCCGGCGGCGGGCGCGGGGGGGGGGGGGCAAGGAGGAGGGGGCCTTCTCAGAGGGCGGCGGGACTTCTCAGAAGCCGTCACGCCTGCGGAGAAGCTCTCCGCGTTTGCGGGGAAAGCTCAGAACACCTCTCAGAAGGCCGAGGGGCTTCCGAGCCTCCTGAGAGGGCCCGCCGCGTCGCACCTCCCCCCCCGGCTCGCAGCCGATCTTGTGCGCCGGCAGGTGTGGGCGGTGGGTGCATCTTGAAACGCCAAACATACCAATGACCTTCTGTACGACAAAAGCGCTTTGTAGCAGCACGATGCGTCTGTCAGGGAATGCCTCGTGGAGGTGGTGAGCATGCCAAAGGGTTCGTCAAAATTTGCATGCCTGGAATGACCCAGTCATGGTTGGATGTGAGAGGGAAGGGGGAGGAGGGAGGATAATGATGATGGTCGTGAGGACAACAACTCGGAGGTAAGGAAGCGAAAGCTTGGGAATATGCACGTCCTGCAGCGGCAAGGCGACAAACAGTTTCCCAGATATTCGGCGTCTCGAGAAAATCGAGACGGAGGTTTTTCATCGGTTTCGGCCTCTCGATCTTTACCGGGTTTCCGGATGGTCCAAGCACAATTCGGGATGAAACATTGGTCCAGGGAAAGTGGTCGAGAGGCCGGGGGCCTGAGCCTCGAACAAGTCGAGGCGCCAGCTGCCTGGGCTCCCCGGGGCAGCACCCGCATCCCCATCGAGCTCTCGAGAGCACTGGCCGGCCGTCGTGAGCGATGCGATGGCGCAGGCGGCAGCCTTGCCGACATCTTCGTGGCCGCTTCCCTACGCCCTCCCCACCTGCGCCGCCGCCGAGAAGGGAGCACCGCCCTGCAGACTGGTGCTGCCTCGGAGGCGGAAGCTGCACGTGGGGTGCCACTTTTCGTTGCGTGCTGTCCGGCCCTGGACCAACCCTCCGGGTTGGTCTTGCTGGAGGTCGCCGCGGCGATCGCGACGGCCGCAGCTCGTGGCACGGTGTTCAAGGAGCGGCATTCCCCTCTCCAGCCCCACCGCTCTGCGATGTAGACGTTGCCCAGATTTCCCAACATAGCAGCAGAGAGTTATCAACTTGTGGTCCACAGAACAGTCATCTCATTGGGTTAGGGGTCGGTTATCGCGCAACTAACTTTTGAGGGGCCCGCTTGGCCAGGAGACAATCGCTTCACATCTCCGGGCGATAATGGGCGTGACTGGGGGCGGAAGGGCCGTTTACGTGATGATTCGCGCCGGCGCTGTCTGGAAATGCTTAGGAGCGGCTAGTTCCCAAACGGCGCCAGCGCGAATCGTGATGTACGTTACCAGGGGACGGGGACCACGGAGAGGGGGGGGCGGGGACGGTAACGGGCGTTATCGCAAAGCTCACCAGCGGGCGTTGCCCTCCAGGTACGGTGACCCCTCTGAGGTTCGAGCCTGCATTGCCCCAGTCCTCCACCCTGCCTTCGGTGCCATGCTGCGCGTCGGCGCGGGTGGCGGCGTGCAGAAGGTTACTCCCAAGGCGTTCGGGGGGTGCTGCCGTTACCACCACCTCCGCCGCTGCTGATGTTTATTGAGACCGCGCAGGAGAATTCTATGACGTCGCTCGGATGGATGCAATTGTGCATGATCACGTTTTTCTGTTGATTCATATTGTGCTACCTGTGTGACTTATCATGCCGATTTGTTGATTATCTTCCATTGTCCTACACGTTTACCTGTGGTTGTCTCACGCGTTTCACATGCATGGCGCTGCGGCGCCCGCCTGCGACGCCCAAGCTGGCGACGGCTGCAGGTCCGATGTTCCGATGCTCGGGATGGGCTCGGCATTGATCTCGTTTTTGACAGCCTTCGTCGTAGAGGCGAAGCGTACCTATGTCCATGGCTTCGATATAAACCATCTCAGCTAGGGAAGGTAGGAACACACACACACACACGGACCACAGGCAGTATGCGATGCATTTGACATGTAGCGTATCCATATCCGTGCCTTGGCCAGCTTGGCCTGCAAAGACATGTCATGTGAGTTTCTGCACCGGGATCTGTTTCTCTCACTTGACCGCCGTCAGGGAGGAGGACGAGTAGTCATCAGATTGAATTGGTTCGCTCATTCCGCTGGCCCAGACTATTCCATCTTGGGCATTTGCCTGCCTGTTCGTCGCCACTGTGGCCCTGATGGGGGCAGTAGTTTCCGTGGAATGTTGCGTGAGCAGTCATGGGCGTCTCGGGGCAGAGGGTTCGAGATCGTTGTTCGTGTCCCCCTCTCTGGGGCCCCTCTTGGACACCCGTTGAGGCCCCCTCAGGCCGACATGGGAGCCTCTTGAGAGCTATTGGGGGCACCTTGGTAGATCTTGGGACATATTGGGTGGATCTGGAGGGCCTCCGAGGCCCTCTCGGGTCCTTGGAGGTGACAGTCAAGCAGTGAAATAGTAGCCGGGTTGGCCTGAGGAGTGGCTGAGGTTCTCGGGCCGTTCCTTAGATTCATGTGTGGAACCTGTCTGTGGCCTAGGCCCGCCGTGACCAGAAAATCTCCTTCTTTCTTTTTATGCGCTCTGTATGGTAGCACGATGACTGTATCCGCTTACGAGCCCCCGCTGTCATCCCAAAAGGGTGCTGGGCCCGTGGTATTCCGCGCCCCGCGGCTGATCGGCCCTCCCCACCGTGAGGGGGCGACCCGGTCATCTGCAGCAGCCGCTCTGGGTCAGGCAGCTCCGTTGGCTTCGAGGCGCACACACCCGGCCCTCAGATGATCTTTAAAACGCTGGGGGGGTATATTTCTTT